GGCAAGCACAGACCATGCCTGGCACGGCTAGGTGGGTGCCAGGAGAAATGTAAATCCAGGCACCTTTGGATGCCCATTAGACCTGAGCAGTATGTCACCTGGAGCATTGCCAAGGGCTGTAAAAAAGGTAGGGAAGTGGGCCAAAACTGGGCTGTGCCCCAATGTGGGACACAGCTCCCTCTGGTGAGGATGCAGCTGTGACGGGCACCAGGCACTGGACACCAACAGCCATCCCGTGTCCTTGGGCAAGAACTTGCAGGGAGAGATCATCTGGAAGCTGCAGGCAGTGTCAGGGCATCAGAAGTTTAAGGGGGGCTCCTGGAATTAGGTGAATTGCACTGCTCGCTAGCAAGGGACCTGCACGGCGGCTGGAGGCTGGGAAGGGACACTGGCCTTGTCCCCAGCTCTCCCCTCGCAGCGGGGCCCGGGTGTGTGTGTGTGCACAGCCCCCGGTGCTGCTGCCCGTGGGGTGACACCCGCCTGCCCACGCAGCCAGCCCGGCCGTCCCGATGTCCCGTCTGTCCCGCTGTCCCTCCTAGCGGGAACCCCTCACCCTGCCCCGATGCTCCAGGGCTCCCACAAGCCTTGTGAGGGGACTCGGGCACCCCAAAGCGAGCCAAGGCCAGCTGCAGAAGCTCAGCGGCGGGGGCTGGCGGGGACAGAAGGGTGTCTGTCACTCCCTGTCCCCGGGCGCTGGCCGATAGATGGCGGTGCCGGATCTCGCTTGGGGACAGGCCCCGGGAGCGAGTGTCCCTGTCCCTGCTGGCAGCCCGCGGGACCCGAGCATCCCGGGCATCACCCCGGGACCCCGCTGGCCCCGGCACCGCCCGCCTGAAGGATCGTCCCCGGGAAAGTGTCTGTGGGTTTTATTTATTGCCTAGGCGGGAGATAGTGGTATAATGTCTCCGGGAAAGGCTCTGGCAGGACACAGGGGCAGCTTTGACCTTCAGCAGCACCCTGTTCTGGAAGGGATGAAGATTCAGTCCGCCTCCGCGGACAGGTCACCTGGATCCTTGGTTGAATCAGAGTGAATCCTTCGTGGGTCACCTGGATCCCTAGTGGCGGCACTGTGCCTGATCTCACCATTGCAGGAAGAAGAAACAGCTAAAACATGCAAGTCCCGTCACCTTGCTCAGTCAGGTGAAGTCATCTTGTGATGCAGTGACTCACCCACGGAAAGGAGGCAGGTCCCTGCCCCCTGTGCTGCGGGCATACAGTGGGAGAAAGCCTCGCTGGAGGCTCCACAGCACAATTACTATTGATTACCTGATCCATGGCTGACAACAGTCTTCTTGGCACTGGAGCGTTCTTTTGTGACAACCCCATATTGCCATTGCCAGGAGGAGCTTCCAGCATCTCCAACACCTGATAGCTCCACAGAGCCCCAGTGGCCAAGCAGCCTCAGCAGCTCCCAGCTCAAGCGCTGGCAGGGGTGGCTGCAGTGGGAAGCTCTGCAGAGCAGGCAGCAGGAGGTGGCTATGACCAGGATGAAGTTCTTCCAAGTAGCAGAACTCAGTGATGCCTGCCCAGATCCACAAGCAGCCTGACCAGCCTCACTGGGATCAGGCATCTCCCTCTGCACCTTGCTGACGTCAGCTCCTTGCTGACGGCTGCAAGTGAGTGGTGGAGACAGAAGAATGAAGGATAAGAGGGGGAAGGATGACCTCAGCAGTAGGGAGGGAGAGAGAAAGGGGAAAAGATGAAAAGATGAAAGGGAAGGGGAAGGAGAGGAAATCAGAGCATATCTGTGGACCTGCAGAAGGAACAACACTGCTTCTGTGTGATCCTGAGCATAACAGAAAAGCCACAGAAAACCAGCAGTAACTAGGTTTTAGTTGTAGCCTCCCTAGAAGCCACTAGATGCAGATAAGTTCTGCTCATGGGCTCCTCCTTGTACAGGAAACTTGAATAAAAAACACAGCTGGAGCCTGCACACAGAGTGGGTCTGAGGCCTGGGAGTTAAAACCTAGCTGCCACAAAGGTCCCTCCCTTCTTTTAAATCAGTGCACTTAGAGAATCTCATTCCTGTTTGAAATCAATCAGCACCTTCACAGCTTGATTCCAAAATAGCAGTAAATCCCCCAGTCAACCGGGAAGAAACACGTATCCTCTGTCCCTTGTCTGTGGCCATCCTCGTCCCTCCCTCCCTGATGTCCCTCTGGCTATGGCACCACTACAGCAGGACCATGCCAAAGGAATTTCCACCAGAGATTTCCCTGTGCCTCTCACCCTGCTGGAGGCATCCAGCTTCAACCTCGGATGTGGGGGACAGGGTGCATCATGGGCTGGTGCTGCCTCCAGCACAGCCACGCAGCAACTTCCCTCCATTGTGTCTCCCCTCCCTGGCCAGCCGGCCCAATCTGCAATCTCCCACCATCTCCCTCCCACTGGCCTCTGCCGGCTGTTCCTCCTCCTTGGAGCGTTCCACTTCCGCCGCCCTGATCTGGGCCCTCCAGTACCGCAGTCTCTTTGTGCTGTTCTGGTCGTCCCCATCAGCTCAGGAGCTTTGGGCGAGGCTCTGCAGAGGGGTCCCTCCCACTAATCCCTTGCCCTTCCTCCAGTCTGAGCTGGTGGGACAGCTGGGACATGTCCCAGGAATGGGGCTTGCTGTGGTGGACATCTAGAAACTTCCAGCGCCATGCGACATCAGCGTGCAGTCAGGCCTCTCGGAACCCCTGACTGGGCACTGTTCCAGCTCCACGGAGGGACAGAGGGGTCAGGGTTGTGACCAGGAGCAAGTGGAGAGTGCTCTGCTATGGACGGGTACTGCTGGTGCTGGATCATGCTGGCACTGCCCCGCATCACCCCTTGCAACACGGCTGTGAGGTCCCTGGGTGTCCTTTAGCTTTAAAGAGCTGTCTGTGCTCTAGAGACTGTGACTACGGACCTGGGCAGCATGTCCCATGCTGGGGCTCTGGCCTCAGCCAGAGGCTCTGGGTGCTGCCAAGATGCAGTGGATTTCTCATCAACTGCCATGTACTTTGAGGGGATGTGTTACGCTGGGAACTCCTCTCACACGTCCTGATTTTGGAGGAGCTTCTATTGTGGTTATGGTTCCTCTGGCTTGCACGCTGAAGTATGAACTCACATGGGTCCCTATTTTTGCAGACAACAGTCTGGCAGAATATGGAGGAAAATGCAACTCCTTCCTATGGCAGAGACAAATTTCTCCAGCCTGACTGCTGCTGTGAAGAAAGCGCATTACCTTTGTTCTTTGCTATCCTGTTTCTACCCACGAGACCACAGGGCCTTAACCACTCATCTCTGGAAGCCAAGAGCAGGGCCTGGGCTTCCTCTCCTGCGACACCTTACTGCCATCCAGCAAACAATCAGCTGGGCGTGCCGCATCCTCTCCCAGCGGCGGCCCCGTGAAGCCTGCCGGCCTCGGGGTGGCTCGCGGGACAGTGGGGTGCGGTGCCGAGCCAGGCTGGGAGCCGGGGCCTGCGGCTTGCCTACTCTGTCCCCGCAGTGGAAAGAATTTCTCCGGTTCCTTTCAAACAGCAAACCCCAAAGGTGCACGTTCAGCCTGAACGGTGGGAATGTGCGGCATAAAACTCGCGGTTATAAACGTCAGCGGTCGTTACCTGCCGCTTCTCCGAGGACAGAGCCAGCTCCTCTGCTCGGGACAGAGGGACTGTCACACAACACACATGGGGGGGGACACGCTGGGCACCGCTGGGTTAGGGGGGTGGCACAGCGAGCCCCTGGTGTGCGTCCGTCGCGCCGGCTCCAAGAAGGCTCCGCTGGAAACACCTTCGGAGAGGCAGCGTCGCGGCCGGGCAGATGTGCGGGACGGCACGGGAGAGCTCCCGGCGCCTTTGGTCCCCGCTGCCGCCCGGGGTGCCCCAGACGGCCGGTGCTGCCGCGCCGCTCCGCGGGTGCGCGGCCCTCCCCGGCGCGGCTCCGGCCCCGGCGGCGGGGCTCGGCAGGACCCGCACGGCAGAGGCACGGCCGCGGCCACCGCCCCGAGAGCGCCTCGGTGGCGACAGCAGGACGGGGCGGCCCGGGACGGGGCGGGCGACAGGCGACCCCGCGGCCGGTCCCGTGGGGCTCGGGGGCCTCGGCCGCCCCCTCCCCCTGCAATCGAGCGAAATGGCTGAACATGTAGCAATAATGCCCCGGCATTCAGGCTGCCCGGCCCGGCCGGCCCTAATCAGCGGCCCGCGGACCCCCCTCCTCTTCCCCTGCGCTCCCAGAATGGGGAACAAAACCCAGCACGTTTCTGCAGCCCCCGCGCATAAAGCGCCGGGCCTGGGCCTCAGTGGGGGGCAAAGCGGCCCGTCAATCTCGGCGCCGGGGCCCCTTTGTCCCTCGCCTCCCTGCCACACCTTTTGTTCCCGAATCCAATAAGCGCCTATTCCCGCTACCTTCCTCGGCGGCTCCTTTCAGCGCCGGCCCGTCGGCCACAATGGGCCCGGCTCTGAGCTACGCGGCCCCATTCAGCGCCCTTGGCACGCTCACAAGCCGGCCGGGCCGCCCTGCCCCGCGGGCACGACGCGGCGACCGCCCCGCCGCCGGGCACGGGCCCCGGCCCCTCCGCCGGGCACCGGCCGGTGGACGAAGGAGGGATCGGGCGGCGAGTATTGCACCTGGTTTATTGACTGACTGGGCGAGCTGGCGCTGGCAGTGACCGATACAGAGTAGATAGAGGGGCCGCGGCACTAGCGGGCCCCGCCGTCGGCTTTTTACAAGCAAAGCTGCTCCGCTGGCGCGGCGCGATCGGCTCCGGCCCGCCCGGCCGTCGCGGCGGCTCCGCGGGGCGGCGGCGCTTCGCTGCGGGCTCGCGGGGCCCCGTCCTGCCGCGCCGCTCCGCTCCGTCCGTCGCCGGCCCCGCAGCGATGCTGGCGGGAGCGCCGGGGTCCCGCCGCGCCGTCCCGCAGCCCCTCCGCCTCAGGTCCAGGGCGCGTGGCGCGCAGCCGGGCTGCGGTGCGGCTGCTAACGGGGCCGCGGAGCCGCCGGGCCGTCCTGTCGGTCCGCTCCCGACCCTCAGTGCGTGCGGGCTACCAGGCCCGGATGCCCTGCAGTGCGCCCTGGCCGCAGGAAGGCCCCGCCGCCGGCTGGTGCAGCGGCTGGCCGCCGCCGCTGAAACCCCCCAGGCCGCCCACGTTCACGAAGGGGCTGGCGGCCGCCGCCGGGCTGCAGGCGGCTTGCATGGACGCGCCGCCGGTGCCCGCCGGGTAGGTGCAGCCGTAGCCGGGGTTGTAGGAGGCAGCGTTGCCGTAGCCGTAGGCGGGGAAGCCATTGTAGGAGTAGGGCCCGTTGTACGCCGAGCTATAGCCCTGCGACCCGCCGAGGCACGGCTTGCCGTCACGGACCAGCACGGGCACGGCCACCCTGCGCGGCGGCGGCGGGGCCGCGGGGCCGCCCAGCTCCAGAGACTTGTCCTGCCGCTGCCGCTTGCACTTGTAGCGCCGGTTCTGGAACCAGATCTTCACCTGCGTGGAGGTGAGCTTGAGGCTGCTGGCCAGGTGCTCCCGCTCGGGCGCCGACAGGTAACGCTGCTGCTTGAACCGACGCTCCAGCTCGAAGACTTGCGCCTGGGAGAAGAGTACGCGCGGCTTCCTCCGGCTCCGCTGCTTCGGCCTCTCCGTCTCCTCCGCCTTCTCCGCTGCGTCTAGCGGCTTCTTCAGAACGCAGCTCTCTGTACGGGGGAGGACAGGTCACGGGTGCGCCTCGCCGACGCCGAGCGCTCGCTGTTCCCGACGGGCCCCACCGGCGGACGAGAGCTCCGCGCCGCGCCCCGGCCGACCCCGCGCCCGTCGGGGCACCGCGCTGCAGGCGGGGACGCAGCGCTGGGACCGGTCGTCTCCGGCACCGCCTGTGTTTGCGAGGGCCCGATTCGGGCGGCAGGGTCGGGCACGTTCCCGCATCTCCGGGCCGACTGCGGCGGCACCGCTGCGGCGCCGCGAGGCGAGCTCCGGGCCGCGTCGCGCACAGCGCCGGGCACCTGCTACGCCGCCGGGCCCCACCGGAGCGGGTGCGGATTTGGCCTAACCCGACCCATTCCTCCCCGCCCGCTACCGAAATTGCAGAGCGCGGGCCTGATCCGGCACCTCCGAACCGGGGCCGTGAGGAGGCACTCCCCCGGGAGGAGGCGAGCGAGGCGCGGAGGAGGGCGGTGGCAGCCCCGCGATGTGCCTGTCCCGGCTCGACACGGCCAAGGGACGTGGAGCGGGCTACAGTGCCAGGACCTGGGCTTCGCGGGGCGATGCCCGAGGTCTGGGAACGCACCACGGGAAGCCAGCGCGTGGCCTGTCCCGGCGGGGCGGTGCAGTGCGGGGAAGCGCGGCGGAGCCGATACTCACTTGGATCTCGGATCGCCGAGTCCAGCTCTTCTCCCGGGCCGGGGGCCTCGCAGGAGCCACGCAGCACGGCGTGAACGTAGTTGTCGGCGGAGATCCGCGCGTCCGCCTGGCTCCCGGGCGCTGCCATGGGGCTCAGGTAGGAGAGCTTTTCCTCCTCCTCTTCCTCCTCGCCGTCGGAGAAGCGGGCGCCGTCGGCGGCCGCCAGCAGGCAGGCAGCGGGGTGGAAGTGGTGCTCCAGGTGGTGCGGGAGCTGGGCCCCATAGTGCGGGTCCTGCTGCTGCTCCAGGTTGAGGATGTCTTTGACAGAGAAGGGTGTGGAGGTGACGGGGCTCGGTAACATCATCGGGGCACCGCAAGCGGACAGGCAGTCCCGCGGGCCCGGCGGCGCTCGGGTGGCTGCTCGGCGGGGAGCGCCGCGCCCGGTGCGGGGGGAACAGGCAGCACCGAGAGACGAGGGGCCGCGCCTGCTTCTGTCTAAGTTGCCTCCATTAGCTCGGCGCTGGGGGTCTGCGTTTTGTTACAGCTTCTGCAGGGACAGCCAAAGGCTCGGGAGCCTCCTCTGCCCCGGGCCGGCACGTCACGGCAAGGAGGGGCCGGGGGCGGCCTCGCCATTGGAGAGAGGGGGAGGCAGAGCCGGCCCCCTGCCCGGCTCCGGCCGCCCGGCCAGAAATAGCAATGTATTAAGGCTGCACTCGGGGAGGCTGCTTCCCCGCAGAGCGCCCCGCCGGCCCGGCACCCGCCCGGCGGGCGCGGGGACAGTGCGCCGGGGTCGGGGTCCCCGCAGAGAGCCCCGGCAGCCGCCGCCGCGCCCCCCAGTGCAAAGCACGTGTAGGTAGGTAGGGACCCCCGCCCGGGCGCGCCCCGCTGGCCCCTGCCCGCACACGGCTTGGTCCGGCCCCGGCAGGGGCCGACATGTGCGGCCCCTACGGCCCAGCCTCCCCGCCCCACCAGCACGGCCCCGCAAGTGCCTCCCGTGGCCCAGGACGCGTAGCGGAGGGGAGGTTCGCCTCCGCCACCCCACACCGCTCCCGCAGCCGACGGCGACCCCGCCGCCCCGGACGGGCCGTAGCCATGCGATGTACACGTAGCCGACCCACTCCGCATCCCCCTGCAGCCCCGGTCCCTCCGCCGGTGCCCCCGCAAATACCCCCGCGACGGGGCAATCTGCAGGCCGGCCCAGCTCGCCGCAGCCGGTGCGACACTCGTTCGCACAGGGGAAAGCGCGCTTCGCCGCCGCCGGATCGGGCCCCGCAGCCTGCGACCGCTAGGCCCAGTCGGGACGGACCGGCCCGGGCCGGGTGGGCAGCCCGGGACTGCGGTAACGCGGGGCTGGATGAGGAGCGCGATACCGCGATCGTCGGCGTTTCCTTTCGTTGATTTTCGTTTTCTTTCGTTTCGTTTCGTTTCATTTCGTTTCGTTTTGTTTCATTTCTCCCGCCGGTAACGGGCGGCCAGCGGCTCCGTGGAGCCACCTCGCCTCCGTGCCGGCGGGTGACGCACCGAATGAGCCCGCTGTACTGTTCCGCATTGAGAGTCCCACGGCCACAGGGCTTCGCCGGGCACCGACCGAGCCCCCTAATGCGAGGGGTGCTGCGGCCCCTCGGTGCTCCCCGCGGCCCCCGGACTTTTGCAGGGGCTCTGAGCTGCCGCGGCGAGGGGAGCGGGCGCACCGAGGGAGAGGCAGGGGATCCTTGGTGAGATTTTTCGTTGTGATTAAAATCCTGCTGCCCCGCAGGGCTTGGATCGGCGACGAGGGGAGGCCACCGGAGCCGGGCGCGTACGCCGGGCAGGTGAGTGTCCCGGCGCCGGGGCTTCGCGGGGCCTTCCCGGCACTTTCTCTCATGTTGTTAATGTCCGACGGTACCACCGTTTAGTGGCTTTGTCGTTGCTCTCGTATCTTCGTCTTTTTGCACTCCTCAGAGACGTATTTACTGGGGGCGCAGCCCGGGACAGGAGTCCGAGTCCCGCGCACTTCACCGCAGCTCATGTGCTGCCGGTCCCGCGGCGGGGCCGGTTCCCGTTCCCGCGGCGCCCCGCACCGCTGCCACCACGCAGCTGCAAACCCCTAGCCATAGAAATACGACGATTTAGTAGATTTTTCTCGCGGCTCCCCGCCCGCTCCCCGTGCGAGACGCCTTTCTGCGGTCCGGGCGGTGGACAGGGAAGGGCGCCCGCAGTAAGGAGGCCTGATCGGGGCCCGACTCTGCCCCGAACCGCCGGTGCCCAGAGAAGCTCGGAGCTGCCTCGCTGCCGGGACCCCGAAAAAAATTAGTAACAATTAGCTCCTTATCCGTGTTACACATCCGCCACCGTCCCGGGCCACTCCCGCCCGCCGCGGGGCCCCGGGTCCGGTGGCAGCACGGCGAGCGGCCGGGCTCTGCACAGCGCCGCGCTTCCCGGGAGCTCCGCTGCGGCCGAGCTTCCCGGCGGGGAGAACAGTGTGAAGGGCCGGTGCCCTCGGTGGTGGCAGCCATAAGAACTGCCGGGCCACCGCCGATATCCGCCTGCCCGTCCGGCTGCGGGAGCAGCAGCCGCCGTGCCGAGGGCGGGGGCCGCGCCCCGGCAGGGTCTGGCTCGTTTGGCGCCATGGCGCTCCCGGCCGCACGGGGATCCCGGACGGGCTGAGCGCCGGGCGCGGCCTGCGGGCTCTGGCAGCCCGGCTCGGGCACAAACGGCGCATCGGGACGTCTCCCTCGTGGTACGAGTGGTTCTCCCGCTGGGACCCAGTCATTTGTGCTGCTGCCGGCCACACGGACTACTCGGGGAACCCGCGCCCGACGGACGGAGCAAGCCGCGGCCGAGCCTTCCTGGGCCGCCTCATGTTCCACCCGTCTCCTGGTACAGTAACTGTGCCCGCGCTTTCTCCCCATGGCAGCATCCCCTCTTTAGTGGAGGTGGATCAGTGGTGAGTTCCCGGCTGGGAAAGCCATGGAAGCGGGGAGATGGTCGGGCCCGATCGTGCCCGTACCGAGGCGGCTGGCGCCGAGGAGCACGACCGGACCGGGGCGAGCGGTGCGGAGTTACAGAAGCCAGGGGGAGGAAGGAGCAGGGCAGCCCTGGTACCTGCCGGCGGGTCTCAGACCGGGATGCGGCTGCAGGGCTTTCCCAAGCCGGCTGGGCTGGGGTCACCGGGCTATTAATGGTTATTTTATTTATATCATTAGCGGCGTCCCCTGAGCTCTGTTTACAGCAGGCCTTGTTGTCCCGGCCGTTCCTGCGCTCTGTTTAGACAGGGGATTATTGTAATGGATGGAGCTCGCCGTGCGGATGCTGCAGCGGAGCCAGGAGAGCCAAGAGCCTCCCCTTCGGGCCCGGGGGGCGAGCAGCAGCCCCGCTGCGGCCGCGCACCCCGCGGCGGGCGGGCGAGGGAGCGAGCAGCCCGCTCCCGCCCGAGGGTCCCGGCCGCAGGCAGCCCGGTAGCAGCGGCCGCGGCCGGGGGTCTCGCTCGGGGCGATGCTATCAGCACCAGGGCTGCTAATTGCTCCATTAGTCTCGCGGGTGCGGAGTGCTGGAGCCGGCCCCGCGCTAATGGCCGTAAACAAACAAACACGCTAATCCGGCCCTGTCTCCAGCCCCCGTGCTCGGGGAGCCAACGGGGCACGGCGGCGGGAGGCTGGGCGGGCGGCACCCACCTGCCCGCCGCCCCCGGAGCCCGGCGGCCCGCGGGCTGGGGCCGCAGCCGGAGCGGGCCCGCGCCGCCGGGAGCTGCCCCCCGCGCCCGGCTCTATTTACACAGAGCCTGCCCTTGTGTAAACGCTGCGCGCCGTGGTTTATCTCAGGGCCGGTCTGGTTCTCGTTCTCTGTCAGCAGCGCCCGGTGAAGGATGGCCCTTTCCCAGGAGTTCGGTCCTGATTTATGTGAGAACCGCAGCGCGCCGGGGACGCCCCCGCACGGCGGGGCCGGCGACGCGGAGAGGCGGCGGGTCTCGGAGCAGCGAGCCGCCGCCGGGGCTGCCGGTGGGGCCGTGCCCCGTGCAGCCCGCAGCGGCTCCGCACGGCTCGGTCACCTGCCGGCAGCGGTCCGGTCCGGTCCGGCACGGCGCTCCGCCCTCTCCCGGGTCCGTCTCTCTTCGCACGCAGCCTCGGCGCCTCTCGGGGTTCTCAGGGCGCGCCCTGAGGGGCTCCGTGAGGAGCGCACCCGGAGTGGCTCCGCCAGCAGCGCCCAACCCGGACTCACTCCCTGAGTGTGCCCACCTGGTCCCAGAGGAAAGGATAGCGTTTATCCCTGCCCTGCTGCTTGCACAAGAATGGCTCTTTTTCACAACTTTGAAAAGAAACGATATCTGTATTCATTAGGAGGGAAAAGGGCTTCTGCAGACCGCGGAGCCGGGTCCAGGTAGGGGATGCAGCATGCTCACCAGCCAACAGGCTGTCTCCATCTCCCGCTGCTGTGTCCCATCTGTGCCCAGACCATCCTGTTCACTCAGGTCTGTCACTTGACACCTGCCTGCATCTCTCCAAATCCTCAGAACCTGCTGGCTTGGTTTGGCCAAGAACCACCCAACTAATGCCCATTTTCTTAAGAAATACATCACTGCACGTATCTGCTTTTCTTCAGTATTTTTTTTGCTCCATTGACATTGGCTGATTTGCTTCACGGTTCTTGCAGGGATACATGGCTTGGAAATATATCCTGAAACAAAGCCTCAGTGAAAAATAAATGTGTTTTCTAAAGGTCAGAATGAGAGTCTAGCATCATACACATATATTTTCAAGGTGGGAGGTGGGTTTGAGGGATACCAGTATGAGTGAAACATTCAGTGTTCAGCACTTTGAAGGGTGGGAGCAGCAAATGCAAGGGTGCTGCCCATTGCAGCAAAGGAAACTCAGTAGGCTTGGACACCAAAGGGGAGGTTGCCCTTGATTTCAGTGCCTGATGGGCCTCTGAAACTGAGGCTGACATGTTGAGCTTGGTGAGGGCCAACTTGCAGGAGCAGGTAAAGGTCATCATTCATCTAAGGCAAGGCAGGATAGGAAGTGCCAGTGCCAAGGACCCCCTCCTGCCTGCTTTTATGTGGCAACTCTTGTGCACAAAGGACATCCAGGCTTCACAAAGCTACCCTGCTGCACAACACAGCCCCATGACTGTGGACGTGCAGAGGGTAGCAAAACACCTCTTCCTCTGGAGTAGAAGCTGTCATAAATCACAGTTACTGACCGTGCGATGAGAGGGTCCCCCGTGCAGCAAAAGGAGGACAGTGCTGCAGGCACACTTACACCACCCTGTTGGTGGAGCACACCCCACAGCCTTTCTGGGAGTACCTTTGCCCCGTGTCTCAGAAGCCATTGCTGTGTGCTTGTGTCCGTGAGGTTGAGAAGCTGAGCTGGGATTCATCCTTCAGCA